TCAGTTGTCACCGGGATTGCCACCTTGGAAGACAAGTTAAACTGGGACACTGGTGGCCCCTACACGAGGAGGGTAAGCCTGAGAGGAACGCAGAGAGAGGCAGAACTGAGGGGCAGAGACGAGTGCTGAGCCCTGGATCCAGCTGTGCGTGAAGCGGATGCACCTCAAGACAGCTTGGATAAGGAGTCCTGGGGCCATCATGTCCCTTCAGGTGAGCTGAGAGTGTTAAACAGCAAGAGTGCTAGTAAGCCTGAAGAAGGTATCACGTTGATACCCAGGTATCAACCTCCCCGGGTAGCTGTACAGATTATTAAGAGCAGGGGGTCTCCATTCTGACATGAGGATCCCAAAGCCCCCTCTCTGGTGTTCCTAAGACCTTCTTGTAGACCTCCAGGCAGTTCCAGGCCAGGATAAGAAGCAAGAAGGCCCTGAACCATGGGTAGGGACTTGGTCTGCAAAGTCCCGGGCATCTCTAGTCCCACAGTGCTACAGGATCAGGGCCTGCCTGCACCTGCTTAGTCCCGGAGCCTGCTGGAACACAGTGTGTGGCTTTTGATGTAGCAGCCTTCTTATGAAAATTGAACCTCACTTCCATCCCTTTAGGAGCAAACGACTTCTCTCTGTAGCGCTTAATGACATTTACTGTCCAGGAAAACTGCACACAGTGAGTCCCAGCCAGAATGACAGCTGGCAGGGGAACCCCAGCCCCCAAGGCAGTGGCACAAGCTTCGTCTTGTCATAAGATCCAGGTAGCTCAGGAGCCTCTCTGAGCCTTGACCATACAGTGAGGGCTCTGTCTCCCAGGATCATATGAAGCCTCCAGGGAAGGGCATACACTTCCCCTCGTAGGCCCCAGGATCAGAGGTCCAGCCTCAGAGTGCTCACAAGCCTGCAGAGGCTTCCTCCATTCACCCTGTTCAGCCAGAGTTCCCAGGCTACCCTGGTGGTGTCTCCCCCTCCCCCCAACCCCCACCCTGTCATCTGGGTACAGCACAGTCCCTGGGTCCTAGCCCAATAATGAAGGACCACAGCCCAGACAAGTCACCAGGACCTGCTCCCCAACTCCTCTCCCTCACTCTGCAGTCAGGGCCCTGACTGAGAAAGCCCCCAGGACTCAGGAGGGAAATTTTTAAATGCTTTAAAGAAATGCAGCACTTCAAGTTTTCTCATTTTGTTTTGTTTTTAATGGCATGCCCAAAAGGCAATGAAATAGACTAAGTGGGGACTTGGAATCCCACAGATTCAAAGGCTGCTGCAAAGCTCCAGATAAGCTACCTCAGCTTTCAAAGCCTCCATTTATTGGTCTGGAGAATGGGGACAGTATTAGGACATATTCCAGAGGGTGTTGTGAGGATCAAACTGGTGATGAGGCCTAAGATGCTTAGCGCAGGGGCTAGCATAGAATAGGTAGAGTGAGTTACTCTCAGCACTTTTTGTGCTAACCAACTTTTCATTGAGTTTTTTTAATAAGCATGTAAGAATTATATGAGAGGAGAAAAAGAAGAAAAAGAATGTGAAATTAGCAGACCCTTCAAGGTAGCCAACAAGAGTCCTGGTAGCGAGTGGGTTCTGTATCACGATGCTAACCACAAGGTCAGCTGTTCAAAACCACCAGCCACTCCACAGGAGAAAGACTAGGCTTTCTAGTCCTGCAAAGAGTTAGTCTCGGAAACGCATAGGGGCAGTTTCCACTCTATCCTATAGGGTAGCTATGAGTCTGGACCGGCTCAGAGCCCAGGAGTTTGGTTTTTTGGTCATGTTAGCCAGTTGGAGTCCTGGTGATGCAATGGCTAAGTGTTCCGCCGCTAACAGAAAGATTGGTGATTAGAAGCCCCCAAGAGGCTCCGCAGGAGAAAGACTTGGTGATCTGCTCCCATCAAGATCATGGCCAAGAAATCCCTCTGAGTCCATTCTAATCTCAAATACCAGACAGCAATAATGACCAACATCATGTAGCCCAAAAGGTACAAGAAAGCTTTCCCATAGCAAGGTGACATGCCAGAGTCTATCCAGAAGCATTTTCTCCCACGCAGCATGAGAAGATAAACTTTAATCCTGGAAATGTTGTCAACAGTGCTGCCTAGTGGTTGTCAAACCAAAAAAAACACTGCCCTTGAGGGAATTCTGACTCACAGTGACCCTTTGGGACAGAGTAGAATTGCTCCGGAGGGTTTCTGAGACTAGTCATCTTTACAGGAGCAGACAACCTCATCTTTCTCCCCCTGAGCAGTGGGTGGATTTGAACTGCCAGCTTGGCAGTTAACAATGCAACACTTAACCCACTGCATCATCGGGGCTCCTTAGTGGCTGCACAGGAACCCAGAAATGCTGCATTTTCCAGTGTCTCTGGAAACAAGGTACCTATGTGTCTTACAAAGAACATCTCTGTATGGTGTTGCTTGGGCCTCCAGTAGAATGATCATGTTGGCTGTCCCAGTGTCCTAAATTTGTGATGAAACAATCGCATGCCACTTTGGGAAGCAGAGCCTCCCACACACTCTCAACCTAAGAGGTTTTACAAACCCCATGCTCTGACTTCCATGGGAATAGCTGACCCTGGCCTGGCCAAAGCAGTATCCTGCATTCAGCTGGCATTATCCATGGAAGATGTTAACCTGACACTTCTGGGGCCCTCCGAGTCTCTTCAGAGGAAATCCATCTGAGATCAAAGGCAACCCATGCAAGGGCAGAGGCAAGAGATGGCAAGAGCCCTGGGGACCGGTCAAAGGCACCTAGATCCAGCCAGGCCTGAAGACTGTGCAAGCTATTTGCTTCCTCTTCTTTCATAAACGGATTCGGCTTACAATTTCTGTCACTTGCAATTGAAAGCATTCTCTGACCAGTGCAATGGAATCAGAATCCCGTTGTTATACTAAATAGATTAGACTGCTCTCCACAGTAAACACAGTTAAAAGGTCCGTCCTTTAAAGCAGATAAACAAGCTCCGTTGCTGTCAGGGCCACTCAGGATGATCGACAAATGCATGCCTCTGACTGGGGAGGTCAATAGGCCTGCAAGACTCAGTAGCTCTTGGGAGATCCATGGCCCACGTAAGCATCCAAGCTTAAGATGCAAGAGAGGCGTGCCTACTTGCCTGCTGTGACTCTACAGTGATCACTGTGGGCACTGCAAGGGCAGGTACCGGACCTCTGCCCATGTGGGTCTAGCACATGCGACCTCTCACCACACCTGTCCTAACCAGACTGGCTCATGCCTGGGACCTCCACACATGCTATTTCGAACTGTGCCTTTCCCAGCGGGCAACTCCTCGCCCTGCCAGACTCCATTCAAAGAGCCCACCAGGAGCACATATTCAGCGCCCTGGTCAGAGAGTACCTCAACTTGTCTTTCTCCTAAGAGTGTAAAGCCCCAGGCTAGGCACCAGGCTTGCCAGGTCTGTCCAGTACAGAGGACGCATGAAAGACCCTAGGCTAGCTGAACTAATGAATGGCCCAATTGAATGAATGATGACACAGTGGCCGTGCTGCTCCTAAATCTTCTCCATCAGGAATTAATTAGGACACCAACACTCTACATCCCTGTTCCCACAGCCACCACGTCCCTTGCCTGCACTCTCTCCCAGCCCAACCCCCAACCAAGTCCTGGGCATTGATTTCCTTTCAGGGAGGAAATTCACCTCCAGCATAAAAGGAGACACACCCCTGAGTCCCTGGATGTCCTCAGAGACAAGGGCAACTCTAAAGGGTGGCCCCATCTTAACCCAACTCGTCCAAGGACATTTGTGGGGGGTTTGTTTGCTCTGCTTGCAATATACCCGTATTCCAACTAAAGCCATCCCAAGGCAGTGATTTCCTAAGCAACAAGTGAGGTTTCCCGTCTCCATAAAAAGCACCCTGGTGGTCTCTGGGCTCTGGTCTAATTGCCGGCTCTGCAGACGCCGGACAGGCCCCAGCTGCCGGTGATGGGTGTGTGCGCAGGCCAGCCGGGCTGGGAGAGAGGCCACTCACTAGAGCAGGCGAGCCTGAGCAGCAGTTAGAAGGAACCCACGGTGGGCGGCTTCAGATGTCTGGCCAGAAGAGCCAACCTGACCACCGCACACCCAATCTAAAATAGAAAACTGCAGTGGCTTCGGCTGCGTGCCAGGCCCTGAGCGACTGGACAGAACACCGCCAATGTCAGCCTGCTCCCTAAGCATCGATCCAGGCTTGCTCTGAGGCCCCCTGGTGCCAAGTGATGGTCCCTCTGGACTCTGGGAGACAGGAGGACTTCCCATGGCTTCAGTCACATTCAGCAACCTAGGCATTCTCCCAATTCTCCCCGCCCCCACCAACCTCTCCCATCCATCAGAACCTGCTCCCCCAAAGATCCAAGCAGTCCATGGGCACCAGAGCCTGCCTTTCTGAAGGCTCCCCTTGACTCAAAACAGGGAGAAAACCTCTACTTTTCAAATAAGCAACTGGAGTTCAACAGGAAACCACAGCGTAAAAGTCAGTGGCTCCCAGGGAGCCAGGGAGCAGAGGGCTAACTGGGCATTTCAGAACCACTGCCTACTCCCAGGGGTGCCATCACCTGCACACATACCCACCGCATGCATTTCCCACCTGCAAAGATGCACGGGACTTACACGTCACAATCTGACACACACCAGAGAAGGAACCCGGAAACACAAGTGCACATTTAGACAAAGATGTGGAGGCAGCCAGATACAAGTGCTCACGGACAAACTCAAGCACATGTGCAGACCCACACACAGCCAGACATATCTGCATGCAAGACAAGCATGTGCAGGCAGGCATCCCGGAGACAGACACTCTGCGACTTGATGGGAGATGCTGGAACCCTGGCCCTCCCCCTGCAAACATGGCAACTTTCTCAGTACAATCAAAATAACTTGCCTTCCAGCCAACCCCCTCAATGAGGCAGCGCAGGGTTCCCTATGCACTTGGGTCCCTTGGCGGGGCAAGCCCTACCCTCCCAGGGGACTCGCAGGACACTGGCCTCTGAAACCTGAGAGAGACAAGAGAGCAGGCAGAACTCACCAGTCCGTCGCAGTTACTGAGCGCCACAGAGGAGTCTGCAGCCAAGCCTGCTACATCCCCGACGTACTGGCAGTTTCCAAGCAGGGGCTCCACGCGCGTGGCTCCAGACTCGTCCTGCCATTCCATTGTGGCTCCTGGTGCCACTAGGCGGGCATTGGGTCGCAAACGCAGATGCAGATCTCTGCCCAAGACCGTGACATTGTAGAAAAGGCGGCCTCCGGGGTCTTCCTCATTGCCTTCGGGGAATCCCGGAGGCCAGACTGGGGCAGCCCTGCGGGTCCGAACCCCAGCCCCCGCCGTCGGCGCTGATACCACGTGGGACACCAAGCGGCCCTGGGCGTCAGTGCGCACCGGCACCGCCAGGATGCGCTCCGCTCCGAGCCCCAGGGGTCCGCCTGCAACGGGAAGGGGCGTCAGAACAGCTGAGACCTTGGAGCCCAGAGCTCAGCGCGGCGCGAGTACACCCCCAGCCTCACTGCGAAGGGAAGAGACTTTCCACTAGGTAGCCCCCCAGGAGGGAGCGTGCGCCCTCATGGTCTTCTTACTGAGGGGAATGGGCGTTAACAAGGGCAGCAAACAGAAGAAGCTCCGCCACCAGGGCATCCCCTTGGGGGACCCTGCCAGCCAAGGACCCTGCTCCTCTGGCATCTCTTGGCTCCCGCAGAGAACTGCACCTCCAGAGTGCACTTGGGGCCCCCTACCCTTCTAATTCGACCCCTCGGCCGTCGCCTCGCTCTGGGGCCCTCGCCGCTACCCTCCAGTGTGGCGAGAACTTGGCTCCCACGGAGACGGGGCGGCCTGCCTCCGTGTCCAGCTCAATGAGCCTGCTCTGGGCCCCCTCTCTCAGGACGCCCGAAGGTGGGAAGGGATGGAGGACAGTCCCTCCAATCCCTGGGGATTCCCCGCCCCACCACCCAGGTAGCCCCAACTAGCCCCTATGCCCTAGGCTCTGCGTTCAGCACCGGGGACTTTTCCCGAACGTCCCCGGACTCGAGCCCCAGCGCTGCCTCGCCCTGGCTCCCCCAAC